TTCATGTCAAATATAGTGAGATAAAGGACGATAAAAAAAAGTATAACTCGATAGCTCAGTGGACAGAGCAGAAAGAACGAGAATTCTTATGGCGTGGGTTCAATTCCTGCTCGAGTCGCTATATTTTTTGCTTCCTTTTTTTTCTTTCCCTTGGAAACTTTCCAAAAAAAATTTTGCTTCCCGACTGACAGTACCCCGAGCCAATTTTGATGGATACATATGCAATCGACTATCCTCTATCCGAAAATATAGTTTTCATTGACTCTAGTTCTATTTAAAAATTTCACCTATCGGTGATATGTAAGACGAAATACATGATCATCTTAGTTTTTGATTACATGAAAAAACGTCGATTATTTTTCGAAACGTTCAAATTGTATGAAGTGTACCAGAGGAGCTGTTTTGCGCGTGTCTTATATAAAATAATCTTTTCTCCTGCGTCAAGTTCGTCTGTGTCACTTTAGTTTCACGAGTATGCTTTGCTTACAACACTGATAAAAGAGATCTCGGTCTATTTTGACCAAAAACATTTGATCGATTGATGGAATTGATTTTTGTACATGTCCGATGGTAAAACAAAAATGACGAAGATCAACATCGGTGGAATAAATGAAATGAAGTAACCAATGAGATAAAACCAAGGATCTCGCACCGATTTCATACATTGAGACAGAAATGAAATAATCAGGCGAGGAAGTGCTAATACAGCGAGAAGAAATGGTGACATCAGGAGATGTTTATGATGTTGAAGTTGTTCGCAACAATGTTCCTTGTAGGATCGATTTTTCTGAACGGTCGAACGAGAACGAGCAGCGGTGATAATGATCATCAATGCCGAGATGCAATTGCTTGAAAATGGAATAAAAAAATGAAATATATTCACAATCCAATCAACTCTCTGTAGAAGCGAGGAATATTTAGCGACACACCATGTGCGTTGCTCTTCTTCGTCGTCGATCAGATGACGGTGAATCGGATCATGGATATAAGTCAAGCATGTCGAAAGGAAAACAACCCCAGTCATCCATCGAGCAACTTGTTTGCTCTTAGCTTTGTCAAAAGAGATTCCTCTGAACAAACGATTTATGCAAGGAAAAAAAAATCTTTCTTTTTCTTCAAGATTAATTTCTGTCTTACAATGGCTCGAACACATTACTCTTGTCAATGTTTGATTCCGATTATTCCAAACATTGGTATGCCAATTGTCATATATGAGTGTGGCCACGTTTAACATGAACCTTGCTATTGGCAATACCATCCTTACAATCGAATTTGTCCGATCTGTGATCACCTTTCTTATCTATTGCAGTTCGAGTAAAACAAAAACTCTGTTCCGTTTTCCCTCATCAAGAAATTGTTTATTTTCAGTTTCGAAATCAATCCGCAATGATCAATTCAATCAATCTCTAATAGAAAGCACTTTCATTGTTTCTTTTAAACAAAAACTGCTTATTGTTTTCTCTTTAGTCTATTCTAATACGAGTAGGAAGTAAAACAAAGATCATATCTACCACTATCTCATTAACCATGGTGTGGATCTTAGATCTGAATATTGGGTTACACTCATCTCGTGATACCCACCTCTCCGGTATATATTGTTGGGCCATTGAGCGATTGAACAATAATTGCATTAAAAATTGGTACTGTAATTAGCATGCTGCTAGTCTTAGCTTGTTTGAATTGATAAGCTGATTAGACGACTGGTAACAATGCAAAATTACTTGTATCTATAGCCAGTGGTTCTTCTCTCGATTGTTGTTCTCTCTTGATTGCTGTTGTTCTTCTTCTACACTGGCACGGCATATCTGTACGTAGCACGCACAAAATGTAGCTCTTGCCCTCCATTGTCTATCATGCAGTGGGAATTGTTCCAGCAATGCCTCCAGTTCTTCTTCGTCGTTGCATTGTTTCACGTACCTTCAGGAATGTTATCAGACAACCGGGGATGCCTGCAACGCAATTCCCTATAGGAAAGAAGCACCCCCGTGGAGATATTGTTTTGCGTCGTACCTTATCTCCCTTTGCAAGCAAATGGTATATAATCCCAGCTCTTTCTTATTCCCTTCAGATTCCCTTTCTTCTATCTTCAAGCAACAACAACATCAGCCAAACAGGTTAGTTCTTCTCTTCTATTCTAGATTCTATCCAATCTGATTCCTTCAATAGTCGTCTCTTGATCTTCATCATATACAATGGTTTCTCTTCTTCTGCTCATCAATATCTTTATCATGTTATTGTCGATTCAGCTATTGTATATTCAATGGACCATTGTCGACAAAATTGATAAACAATCATCTATCAATCGTGTCGATTCGGCACATTGTCTCGTTAGTATTTCGTCGTTCGGGACAATTATCGAACAACTAAACAACGTAGATCATTCAATGGAATATGAACAACGCATCGGACTTTTCTTGTCTATTATAATTACATTTGCGGTTCTAATTGGAGTAATCTATTTGATAAGACAACGTTCAACCCGATACCAAGTAGTCGAAAGGGCTAGCCAAATCGACCAAACCTCAACAGTATGCATCCTTCATTCTCAACTAAATAGTGTTTTCTTTTACTTTGTAGATCATCACGTCTCCCAATGCCTCATCGAGCAATGTTCACGATCAAGTCATTTGTAATCTTTGTAACAAACCGATCAATCGGGATCACAACACACCGATTGTTCGATATAACAAATGTGGTCATATCGAACATAGTTACTGTTATGTTTATTTTAATCCACATGATCATCAATGTAGTCTTTGTGATGTCGAATCTACTACAGTGTATTTTTCAAGTGGATTGCCCATTTGATTCCATTTTTAACAATATTCTAGATGGTTTGAACCTTATTTCTCGATATCATGGCGTCGACTTCTATTCCTTCCAACAGCGTCGTTCTACCATCTATTGTATATCGGCAAATGATTGAAACCAGTGAAGCACAACAGTTTCTTGCCATGATCAAGTCAATCAACGACAATTATCAGCTGCAAGACATTTCTCAATACATTCATATTGTTATACAAACATCAGCAACAGAGTCATTTATGGTCAATCCAAGAGCAAACATGAATTATCATGTTATGCTATTCTCGCCGCCACCTTCTCCGATGGACTATGATCAATAATCGATAGCTAATGGAATTAAAAAATTATCATATACACTTTTGAATGAAGCCAATCATCGGGTTTGTTTTGTTTCATCGTTTTTGTTTCCATTTCAGATTCAGAATGGCCAGTAGTAGTCGCCCTTCTCGACCTACCACCTTCAATTTACTCCTGTACGATGATGAAGATTTGAAAGAAATGTTCGGCGATATTTATACACTCAACAATGATCTGTTATCATTATTATTGATGTCACTACCAGTATTGTCGTGTGTCAAGGATCCCTATTCACCATTGACATTGGATACAAACAATATCGCTCGTCGTTCAATTTTACTAACATTTCCGCCACCAATTATTGTGCATGAACAATGTTTTAGTGGCTGATTAGATGGGCTGATCATTTATTGTTCGATCATTCTCAATGCGCATGATCACTCGAAATATTTTGTTTATTTTATTTTATCTTTGCATGTTTCAGATACATCAAAATGGTATCAGCTCTCTTCTACCTATTACTTTTGGCCTTTACCATCAGCCATTCGATTACCATACCAATTGCTGAAAAGGTAAATCAAAGGCTTTTTTTTTGGACATTTTTTCTTTCATTTATTGAACTATTATCGTACCATAGTCAGCAATCAAAACCGGTCATCAACAACGATTTAAAATGTTGTCAACAATCAATGCAAGACGATCAAAATGAACGTCGAAAACGAGATAGCACCGTTAGTACCGATGTTAAAGCACTTCAAGCGACGGTCATTGATCATCGGATCATGATCGATGAACATCGAACAATGATAAACAATATTATGAATAATTCGATCAATACCAGCAATGTACACTAATTTGAACATTAATTTAAGCAATGAACACTAATTTGTAATAATCAACTCTTGCTTTGATTCTCAGATGATATTAACTAGATGCGTCTGCATGTGCATCTAGCAATAGTTAAATCAATAGATTATCGGGCGATAAATTGATAGTTGCAACTAGAAAACATCTAGTAATCGCCCAATTACTAGATTTCCACTGTAGTTCGCCCAATTTGCCGTTACACAGTAGTTGCAATCGAGTAAAAATCTAGTAATCTGGATGAATCGGGCGATACCAGATTTATTTTTGACGCTTGGGTATACGGTACAAAGCTAACGTTGTTCATTTTCCGAATACTTTCAGTAGTAAACGTTCTTTTGCAATAACCAAATGAAATAAAATTCCAATGCATAATCATCACTTTGCGTTCTGAATTCTGAAAGCCAATCTAAAATTGAACTAAGATTCATTTTACTTCAGGCCAAACTTAGATTAAAGTATAGTAATATGTATGTATCTTTTTCTTATCCAACAATGAGTAAATTTTAACAGGAAAAACCAATCCTAAAGCAAAAAGATTATCAGTGTAAAACTGAGAAATGTCTTGAAATGGGTTTACTTTTCTACCCCAGAACTAATATCAATTTTAAAATATTGACGACACCGGGTATGAAATTTACAATATATTCCAGCTTTCTTTCTAGCGGATTCATGTTTTAACACATTAATAATTGTACTAGTATGCGGACATGATATCATTGATTTTTCTCTCATTGATAATGACAAACCATTTTTACAGTCCCCAACTTTAGCATTGAATGTTTTTTCCCTATTAACATTGCTATTGTCATTACCATCATGTGAGTCGGTTTTAGATTCATCATTGACTACAGTACCGTTTTTAACACCATTATTACCATCAATAATAACTGTTGGTAAATTATATTCCAGTGTCACTATTTCTTGTGAATTATCGCCCATGTGAAAACAATTACAATAATGCGAGCAGAATGTTGCAAAAGAGTTCTTATCTATCTTTATTAAAAGTTGTAATGATCAACAAGATGAATCTGAGTTTGTTCTAGTTCAACCTGAGATTAATCTAAGTTTGGCCTGAAGTAAAATGAATCTGACTTTTACTTAGTTCAATCTTAGATTGGCCTTGAGAATTCAGTCCAATCGCGGATTGGCCTGAAATTTTCTTTTTAATCTGACTTTAAACTAGTTCAAACCGAGATCCTAGTTTGGACTAGCAAAAAGCTAGGCGAAAGTGAGATCGGAGTTTGGACTAGGTCAGACTAAGATCTTAATTTCGCCTAGGTCAATCCTGAATTAGCCTGAATCCGAATTTGGACGCTGACATATATATATGCATAGATTTTATTTCTACTTGAATGGAACACTTCTATACAACTACTGAAGATGGCCGTATAAATAGGCCGAAATATTTAGTCTTTTTATCTTTGTAATTGGTTAATGATAATGTCAATTTAGGGTGTTATAGCTGCATTAGTATGGAAATTTGTCTAGCTTTAACGTGTTGTTATTCATTTTAGATTTTAATTGTTCTAAACTTTGTTTGTTCTATAGCACGTTGTTTTATATTGTCAAGTACTGATGAAGATTTTTATTAATCAAAACGTTTAGTACGCATGGAGTGATCACATGGCTTGCGTTTTTTACGGTTTCCTATGTACGAAGTTGAGAATATTTAACAAATCTTTTATTTCTTCCTTCTACTTCGTAGTTTTATTATTGCCATACTAAACGTTTCGATCAATAAAAATCTTCATCAGTACTTGACAATATAAAACAACGTGCTATAGAACAAACAAAGTTTAGAACAATTAAAATCTAAAATTAATAACAACACTTTAAAGCTATACCATAAAAAAGAATTAGCCCTTATTTATTTTTAATTAATTTGTAATAATCAACTCTTGCTTTGATTCTCAGATTATACAGTGTTAAGAACAGAAAATCCCAAATATAATCTGAGAATCAAAGCAAGAGTTGATTATTACACATTAATTAAAAATTCTTCTTCTTAAAATTCTTATATACATACTTTACTGCAATATTAACGGTGAATAACAATAACCATTTTAGTTGCTTAAAATCAACAATCAGTCGCAATTAATTGACGACTTTTCAAGAATCGTGATTAATTGATAAAACTGCGCAATTTTGTCGACATGAATAGTTTTATTGATTCAGTTGAAAGGAAATTCGTGATGTAGTGAACTTTGTTTATTAAAAAGGTAGAAGCGTCCGTTGTGAAGTGAGTATGCTAAAAGTGGTTCACTTCAACAAAAGACATATACACCCGCGGTTTTGATGATTTTTATATAGAAACATTAATTGGAGAATAAAAAAGATGAATATGTATACAGTTAAAATAACGCAAAATGATATTAATAGAAAATAAAACACCAAATAAAAATATTATATGTACCAAATATAATGCAGTAATATATATATCGAATAACTTTTGAAAGAAAGGCGATAGAGACATGCGATTTTCATACTCTGAAAGTAGACACTTTAGGACATAAACGTATGAGACAAGCCGGCGTTCAGCTTTATCGTGGTGTACAAAAATACCCAAGATCTAGACATCCACAAACGCCCTAGAAAATCCAAAGTCCGGAGATGTCACACTTCTGATTTATGAAACGATGACAATGACTATAGTTTTATTGCTTTAGTTAAAACCAAACTCGTGATGTAGTGAACTTTGTTTATTAAAAAGGTAGAAGTGTTAGTTGATAAAGTGAGTATGCTAAAAGTGGTTCGCTTCAACAAAAGACATATACACCCGCGATAGCTCAGTTGACAATATAAAACAACGTGCTATAGAACAAACAAAGTTTAGAACAA